TTTCAAACCTGATTGAAGTGTGTGTTTCCTAATTCATAATGTAGCTGGTTCAGTGCTCTCTTGGCTGCAACAATTCCAGTCTTTAGATTGATCGTCCCTCCAGCTTCAAACCATTCTGAATACTGTCTTCCTTCATCGACCACATGAATCTGCTCAAACCCAAATTAAACATAATAGTAAATAGCTGAGGCAGTTGGAATAAACATGCAAAGCATGCAAGAGTATAAACACATGCAAATGCAGATTCATACAATAAATAATAACTCATAAATGCTTTTACAGTAAGTCAATACAACNNTCCAACAGCAGACAACATGCAAGAAACATTTTTCAATGTAAAATTCACATATATATTTCATTATGATAAAACTCTAAAATTGTTTCATTTATTTATCTATCCCAAGATATATCCTGTCAAGTAAGAGAAATTTAATAATTACTTTCATGCAAATACTTACATGATGAGGCACAAGTTCATCATATCCTCGGCTGCTGCCAGAGGCACAACAGGCCATAGAAACAAGAGCAGCACTTGGAAGTAAATCAAACACAGAGCGCTTATCCACAGGACTAGGGTTGTCATGAGTCAGATCTAGGAACAATGCATGTGCCACTGAAGGAGTCAGTGGTCGTAGGCTGGACTGGAAGAAGGCACCAACAGGCTCACCACCATATCGATATACCAATCGACCCAATTCATGGGAGTCCCATGCAGACATAGCCTCTGAAATGACATTTTATATGAGAATACAGTGCAAAAACAAAAGGGTGAAAATAAAAGAAGAATGGATAAAAATAAATAACTTCACCTCTAATAAGGGAACTAATTCCTAGACGGTTGACAAAAATATTATCCTTCTGATCTGAATTGGTAAACAATTCAGCCACAACATACAAATCAGGCCGTACTTTTCGAGCTGCATCCAGCAAGTACTGAAAATGGAAGAAAAAAAGATTATATTTGATTATAAAGATTATATTTTGAAAATATTATATCTCTATTAGAGTGTCTGCAGGGAGAAGGAAAAAAAAAACACCCTCAGAACAATAGGTTTAATGAAAAAAGAATGGGGTAAACAGTTCAAAAATATTTTTGAGATAGCCTAACCTTGCCTCACAATGATATTGCTTTTTAATTAAAATGCACATTATTCTTGGATTTCTGTTCAAACACAACCTACTATTTGCCTGTTATAATCACAAAATTTTATTGCATGTACTATATTTATCATACTTGTAGATGAAAACATTTAATTTTATTCACAATAATACACACTTTCATATGTACATATATAATACACAATATTCTAAATATACACAATTAATTTGAACTATCATGTAATTCCTGATGGAAAATATTAAAAAAATTCTTTGAGCCATATGTATTATTTAGTTTAATATTCTACAAATAGTGAAACTAAATCCTAAACTCACATTAATCAATTATATAGAATAGAATTAGAGAAAAATAGCAATCACAACAATTTTTTTGCACCAAAAACAGATTTTAAGCAAGAGTAGGCACTTTCAAAAATACTTTTAAACTTGCATAATTTTTTTGCACTAGACAACTGTGGGTCACATATATGGTAAAACCTGCCTTAAACAGAATTCTCCCTCTTTAAAACAATATGCTAAATACAGAAAAAAATTCAAAAAGGAATGATTTTCTGAGTTTAAGAGGTTCAAGAACTAGTTCTTCAAAAGGTTGTAACAATAACCTGATGAAATGAATCCAGACGTTCTAATGAAAATAAACCACCCAGGAATTCCACAACAATTCCACAAAAAACATCAGAAACGCTTAATAATAAGCCACAATATTCTGAATTCTTGCAAATTGCAAAGTTTCAGGTGCTTTTAACAGTTGTAGAAAATAGAGATTTTGTTTTGACACAACTTGAAATGATGTAATTGTCATGTAAATGTTTTTCAAAATTAATGCTGCAAACATTTAAACAAAAAAGAAACAATTAAAAAAAAGGTTTAAATAAGATTTATTTTAAAACAGTTGCACATTTTAAAACTAGAGTAAAAAATAGCATACTTCCAAAAGTTCTAAAATAATTTTTTTTATCAAAAATATCTCAAAAATTCGTTTTAGAAAACATTTCATAATTGTCCCATCCTAAGAGGTTTCAGTATCCCATCTTAAGAAGTACAGATTCAGTGTTAATAAAAAAGTTGTTATTGGCATACATATGACAAAAATTCAATTTTCTATATGATGTGGGTCTTAGAGAACATGTTAGGAAATGATTATGATATTTGGAGTTCGAAAAAGTATGAAATAAAAACAACTTTGAGATGGTTGAAATACACTATTTGCACATTATGGACTGTGTTATTATACTTTACCACTACAGTCTCTTTTTTGAAAAAATATGTAGAAGCACAGAATAATTTTCAAGACTATTAAATATAATATAATATTCAATATAAAAAAGTCAGCAGTAGTAAAAAAAAAGTACCTCTGCAACTGGTATAGGTGTTGAATGGCAATTATCAAGTCGAATTCCATCAAATACTTGGGCAGTTAATTCCACATAATCTTGCATTTGGCGCCACAAAAAAGGACAGTCATCAGGTTTATCGCCATATCTGTAGAAAGAAGCATTTTAAAAGCAAATAAAATGCTATTTCTTCCTCATTCCATCTTGGAAACAATCATAACTTAATTCCACCCCTTTAATCTTCACGATTCTGGTACTAAATGAAAAGTACAAGAAAGTTTTTTTTTTAATGTGATACAATCAAATCTCAAAAACTTGATCACGAATTCAAGGGAAATATTATTTTTTTTGCACATATTCCTTGACATTCATACACCAATCAGTACTATATTAAGCGACTTAGATAATTCATTAGATTTAGTCAATAATAATCAAATACCCTAAACTACATGAGGATTTCTTACCTTAATTTTACACTATCGCCCCATGCAATGAGTTCTCTCCTTAAGTAAACATTTGAATCTGATGATGCAAAATTTCGCAGAGGATCATCATTCATTACCCAACCATTGTGAGCCATCACAAAACAACCTTTGGGTGAATAAGCAAGCTCTTCATAATCAGCAATATTCTTTGGAGACCCATAGTCAGTAAAATACCTATAAAATAAATTCAATAAAGCATATTGATCTAATAAAGCATTTATGCAGAAATACAACTAAATTGTAAAACACAATTGTACATACTGAACACATTTTAATTGTTTCTTGAGAAAAAGATGTCTGAAATTTATTTCCAAAACTTATTTAAAATTCTCAAAGTATGATCTCTATCTACATTTCACTCCACAAAAACAGTCTCATACCAACATGACAAGAACACTTTCGTGTCAAGCACAAGAATAAAGACTCAAAACACAGTAGACACACAGATACAATGCAGTCGTAAAAAGCGCTACACTGAAGTTCTTTTTATACCCAATTAAAATTTGAACGCTAAATGTAGAAGTTCTGTGTATAACAAAACAACTTCACAGAATATAATAGAGTTGAGGCAAAAGTCACGGAAACCATTTTTTCCTAAAAGAAATGTTATAATTTTATTTGTTACAAGAAAGAAATGCTTTACTAATGTGTGTTCACAACAACAGACGGCTCTGTGAGTGTCTCTATTAGCACATGGAGCAATTTGAAGTCAGTTATCTTACTGCTGGCATGAGAGATGAATGAAATCTGTTTCCAGTATCACTCATACACCAAGATATCAGTTCTCCAAGGTAGAAATGCCTGAGAATGTAACATGGAATTGGTGGAAGCTCTTGGGAATAACTCCTTTCCATACCAGACAGTTGCAAGATGGGCAGGAGAATTTCTGGGAGGATGCTTCGTAACCAGTGATCAGCAATACATGTGACAACCTGTCAGTGTGCGGACCAATGTGGCATATGCGGTAGGTAATTGAGCATTTGTCTAATCAGACCAGAATGAGTATGAAATGCTTTTGGAAGATTGTGAACTTGTACCCATTAAAATGCTTCAGAACACGAATCCAGAACTCTCATTTTTAATACCTTGATAAATATGACAAATATAAGTTTGGGGAGTCATTAATTGTCCACATGCTTAGTTCATACCTTGACGTTTCCTGTGATAATTTCACATTTTTAACTCATACTTGTATTCTTGCACAAACAAATAGTTGCCATGACTTATGCCCCAACCCTCGTATACGTACCATGCACACAGTATTTTATACATCCCCAGAAACTGTTGAAAAAGAAAAATTACTGACTTCAATTGCACATGCGCCAAACACAAAATATTCCACTCAAAGTGTTCTCTCATTGATAAAGAGTCTATTTTCTGGACTTTTCAAGAACATACATCCATAAGGTTTCCTCAAAACTTGTGCTTATTATAAAAAAAATGTTCCAAAACTCTCAACTTGAAAAGGGACTCATGGGTATGAGTTTCACGATTATGTTTAAAAAAGTAACAAATTAAGCTACACATTTTTTTTCTACTTTCAAGAACTTTTTTGAATTCTATTCATAATTTCACAAATTAGAAAATACTAACAGATTTTACAACAGGGAAAATATGAGAATGATGTTTTAGGGAAAAATTTTATTTCACAGTTCTTGAAAAATTGCAAGTATTTTATGTATTCTTAACCAGTTATAACACATTTCAAGAAATTCATAAGAACTTGAATTCATTGTTAAAAAATTCAATTTTAGATGTTTTTTTGATTCTTAAAATGTTTCATACGCTTTCAACATTCACAATTTAAAACAACAACTCTATCTCCCCAATAAGAAATTTAATAAAAAACATTGAAGGTAATTGTGAGAAAAGACTAACTGTATTATATATTTTTCAAAATATTTATAATTGCTTTACGCTAACTGTAATGAAATATTATAAGACATTCTTCTCTGTTTGCCTTCCATAACATAATTTTAAAAAAATTATAATAGGCCAATGATAAATGAAATGAAGTTGAATTTGAAAACTACAGTAACCCATTGTGATATAATAAATGAAAAAACTGAATGAAGTTACCGGCATCCTATAGTACAAATTTGTACTTGAATATAATGCACCATTGAATTAGATTCAATGGTGCATTAGATTCAATGTTGTCCAATGTTGTATTCACAGTTTTGAGAACAACAATTAAAATGTTAAATTATCTCTTCAAAATTAATTTTTCCCTACATTTTGAACTTTTTGAAGCCATTACGAATCTGTGAATGCAATTTTGTCAAGATATTTTCGCTTTCTCTCGCTTTTTCTCGATTTATACTGTTGGCTACGAATTCTGATCTATCAAGTGATATCAATTTTAGAGAAAATTGGCTGAACAGTTTAGGCGCTGGCATTGCCCGTGGATGGACGAAGAGAGACAGACGTTTTACCATAAAATCAATTCTGTATCAAGGACCCACAAAACATGAATTCTGGCTACACCATGTGTTAAGAGGAAGTAATTTACTGTAAATGGCAACATGATGTATCCACTTTCTTGCAGTGACGGCTTGGCAATAAAAATTTTTGCTGTTTTGCAGCGCACATTACCCAAGTTTCTCTTCTTATTGGTAGTGTGAGTAAGTAAAAAATACTAGAATTCTTGAATTTTAAAGTGGAAAATATTAACTAAAAGTGGATTGTAAATTTTCAGTATTTTATTTCATGTGCAATAGGATTTTCTCTCTGTTTACACTGTTTTTTCTTGGTCCCTTGAAAAGTGTAAAAGAAGGGTTCTACTGTATTTCCATGATATGTTTCCAGCCACAAGCCTTGCTCTTCTGTCAGAAATGAAAAACAGGCACAATTGCAATTGCCACATTGCACAAGTGCAACATAATGCACAACGAAGGTGAATTACACAAGGGAGTGGGAAGGGAGAGAGAGGACAAATAACAAAAGAGAAGAAAACCAAGCAGAAAATAAAAACAGCAAACTGTTAAGGATCTAGTTTACAGGTCTGAAACTAACTCAGCCATATCTCTTATACAATATAATGTAATAAATAAAAATTTAGTTAATGAAGTGTGTGTACTCACCGAGGAACTAAAGGATTTTTGATTGAAACATCTTTCAGTTTAGGACCATCAGACTGAACTCGAAAGTATCGCATACCAGCAATAGAATTATCGACAGCTGCCTGTAAATGACCCTGAACTTCATTGAATATAGCACTATTCAGCTTATCAAGGTGGGCTCGCAAATCTTCACTGCAACGGCGTAGACGGGTTTCCTCATCAAAACTGTCACTTCTGCAACAAGCATGGTGGGAAGAGTTGAAATGTTAAAGAAATAATAATATACACAAACATCACTTTGGGACCAAAGTTATAAATGCTATTTGTCTTCAAAGAATTTCCATAATCATTACCAGACAATATGAAAACATGTTAACAATAAGGTCCACAATTACTTTCTTAGTTACTAAAAATATTTAAATCATATTTGTCACAATACATAAAAAATATAACAATAAAATTTGTCAATTTATTGAACAAAAATCAGACTACTGTAATCATACAAATACATTACATAATTACTAGATATTTTAATCTATGATTTGTGCTTCTGGAAGACTGAATTGTTACCCACCTGTACACATTATAAATGCGTAATGCTAATTCCATATCCACAGTTGCCTTCAGTCGACGATACAATGGATCAGGAATAATTTTAAGTTCTTGAGGGCTTGGTGTGGGAACTGATCCTACTGGTGGCACACGCCTTCGAGCAAGATCTTGAAAATCACTCACAATATGATTTACATCAAGCATATATAACTCAGGAATCTTCACTTGAGGGAGGAAGAAGCCAAGAAGAGCACTTCTAATTGCCTAAAAAATACATAGAACTCTTTGTCAGGTCGTAGGTAAAAAAATGTGCCCATTCCTAGAGCAATGTGTCACTGTTTTAGAATGGTGATGATAATATGTACTATTTAAGATACAATAAAAGTTAGTAAATTGCATTTATGTATGCAAGAACTTTATTTATCAGTTAAACTTTTTTTTTCTTTTTTGCCTTCACATTTCTGTTTATCTAATGAGTAAAAAAAAGAAACAATACAGAAAATAATATGATATTTTCAGAAGATACTCAGAAAATCATGGAGTTTGATTCCACCTGAATGGCCTAAAGTTATATACCCACCGAAAGATGTGCTTCTTCAGTTACTTCAGAGGGAATACCAGAGAACTCCCATTTGCCTTCAGAAATTTCTTGAGTAAGGATATTCAAAAGAGCATCTAACAAGTATGCAGGCCGTAAATGAGGGGAATTGATAAGATTGTAACTACATTCAGGATGATCTTGAAGCCAATCTGTTTCATTTGCAGTGTGATTAAGAACAATATCACATACACTGGCAACCTGCAATAAAACAGTAAATATCCATGAGAGTGAAAACAAGCAATATACAAAAAAATAATATTAAAACTTTTGAAATACAAAATATGTAAATATATTTCCAGTACATCTCTTTGAAAATACCTAACTTCATAACAATCCTAAAGTAATATGTACATTTTGTCTCCATGTCTTCATCACATACAAATGAATCCATTGGTTGCTATTTTCAGCACATACAAATGAAATCATAGTGCTTAGTAATTTCTTGGGAATTTAAAAAGTGTCTGCTTCCAATAAGTGGAGATCACAGAAGTGACATTAGTAATCTAAATCTTTAATTTCCTAACACATACAATTGATGAACTTTTTCTCATTTGAATGGGAACTTTTTATGGATATTTTATTATTTTTTTATTAACAGGTTGTATTATGTATTCTAAGGTTGTATTATGTTCCTCTTCAATTTTATTACCTTTTTCAAAAGTTGTGCCATTATATGAAAATCTTTACATTAATATATGTGATTCATAGAATAAATTTTAAGAAATGATCCTTAGAACATGATGAATTAGAAATAGGAAGTACTCACAACAAAATAAATGTACATAGAACAGTAATGTGTTTTAACTTGTACTATCAAATCAATACAAATGTATACATATCATAACAATTACAACTACTCACTTTCCATTCACGTCTCATTTTATCAGTAAATTTTTCTATGTCAGCATATTCAATAGTGTGATTTCCTTCAGAGAATATTGGATTAAGTTTCAATTGGTTTCTTAAACTGTAAGCTGAATTTGAATCTCCAAGTTCCTATAAAAAAAAGCAATAATTTCAGTTTTTGCAGTTTTTTAATTCATACCTAGAAATACCTTTTCAAAAATTTAATTCAGAACAAATGTAGAGAGCTTACCTGCACTGGAGTAAAATGAATCATATTGTAGCCACTTTCTTGTCCTACACGCAATTTTGCCTCCCATGAGGAAAAGGGTCCTAGGCACTTTGAGAGGACAGTTTGGCACTGAATGCAATCCAAAGGTAGCAACTCATTGTTTCCCACCCTTAAAACTGGATCAACTGAGAAGAATCCTGAACCCTGGGGTTCATATGTATCACTAAAACAGAAAAACCTTTAAAGCATCATCTTTACTACAAATTACAAGTCATTTCTCGTACCACTTCAATGATACAATTCTATTTGAAAGTTCTTAATTTAGTTTTGAGAGAGCTGAAGAACATGAGGAAGGGAGAAAAAAAAGAAGACTTTGAAAATAGGATGTGGATTTCTAAGAACAAACAATTTCATTTTTCTAACTAAAAATGTACAAAGATGACATGATAAACATAGGTAATATGAGAGAAAAAATGTGGGAAAGTTTTTATTCTTTCGGTCAAAATAAATGGAAAATTGATGTAAATAAATATATTTTTAAAAATATAGAACCAATAAAAGAAAGAAGCAACCTTGCAAAGAAATACCAATTTTTTTAATGTGATTTTCATCTGTGTGGGCATGGTTTTTAAACCAATTCCCTCTTTCAGTGAGTAATATTAATCTCCAATTCAATTACCTTCCAAAACTATCAAAATAAATTGATTAAATACTAATTACAACTAATTCAAGGTAATATTCAAAAGGATATTATATTAAATTCTTAAAAAATAAACTTATTTTTTAAACCCTATATTTTTTGTTGAAAATCATTTTGTGAAATGCTTCTTTGTGGGAATCTGTACTTCACTTTTAACACCATTAATAAGAAAAAGAATTAGGAAAAGCATTCACGTAATACCTGTCACTGTAGGTGAAATAGTAGTGAAAAGAACCAGGTCGAGACATAAATATTTCAATGTAAGTCGATGAATCGTCAGTTGATGACGTACTAGAGTCATGCTGCCAAGATAATGCACGATACTGCGTTCTCTCGAATGGCTCTTCTACTTTTGATGGCAAATTACAGAACACTCTCACTTTGCGACCAAATAATGAGGGTCCAAGTCTCAAGTGAAGCCACCAACCTGTACAAAAATTCATGGAACATCATTAGAAAAAAATATTTTTGTAAATTAGAGGGGTAGAGGGAACATAGTGCTAAAACCACATATCTATACTTTATGTCAATTTAAGGAAAAACAAAGTTTTAATGCAATGAGATGTGTCTTGTTTCCGAATACACTTCTGGCTGCTTTCTACACACTTTAGTTATGTGAACATGATTGTTCAGCATTTCAATCATAATGTTTGTTTTTAGAAGATGTTCTCAGACCTTCGGTTTGGATTTATGAAATGAGGTTAAGCACTATCTTCTCCCTACCCCTTCAATTGCATAAGATCACATGAAGCCAAAAATAGAAGAAATCAAAATGACCAAAGCTCATGTTTCTTACTTTAAATATTTGCCAATGAAATTATTATTAATCCGTTTTCTTACATATTTCTCAACAGGTTAGCAACATTAATAGTCATAACATAGGTTTTAAACAATTCGGTATCTATCTTTTCTTATTGTTTTACAAAACAATAATAGCACAAAGAAGAAATAGAATAAAACAAAATACTTTAAAGAATATCCAAAATGCATTACTACTTCACAATATCATTCAAAATTATTTCTCTATTTACTGATTTTAGGGTTGCACGAGAGCTAACTGAAAACAGTATTATGAAAAAAAATATTGTCATAAATGGTTCATCAAGTTTCAAATGACATTTCAATAAAATAAAATAAATAAAAAACACAGTTCTCAATGTATTGTATACCAAAAACCATGACACTGTGCGTGAAAAATGAAACAAAAAATTAAGTAGGTCCACTTCAGAGGTACAGACGTGTTCAAATTATTAGACTAAAGACATTTTTCGTACAAGATTTGCATTTATCCCAGGTTTACATTACTGTGCATGTTAGTCATACATTTAACTTACAGTTAGTGTGCATGCCTTTGTTCTTAATCAACAACTTTATCCTGTTTGGCATAATGTTTACTAACTTTTCACCTGAATTTTTAATTTCACCATCACGGTACCAAATCTCCTCAAGTTTGCCCATGACTTCTTGTTTTGTGGTTATTATTTATTTCCTTTTTCTTCTCATGGCATTATCCTATAAATTTTCTATGAAGTTCAAGTCAAAGCTATTCCCTTGCCATAGAAACCCTTTCAATTGCTTTCCTTCCAAATTCTTGAAGAGACTTTTGTCTTTGTGTCACTGGGCTTCATCATGCATAAAAATGCCATCTTCATTAGAGAACCACTCTAATTTTGGGACCTTTTCAAGGACTTTTTTGTATTGGTATTGCCTCATTGTCCCTTGGGCAATCTACCAGGATCTTTCACAGACATCACTCTTCAAAGTGTTTCTTTCCAATGTTTATATCATGGAACTTTGGAATATTAGAAAGACATGCTTCAGTCTAATAATTTGAACACGTCTGTACTTTAGATAACTATCAACTTCCACCGTTCTTTGAACAAATATTTAGAAGAAGATTTTGGTATTTATTTTAAATTAAATACAATTTTTAATCTGTATGTTCTCACTGTAGTCATTTATTTACTTATTTACCTATTTATTTAGCATTAATTTCAATGAGAAATACATTAATTACTCATATGCAAACATAAGTTCCGAGCAGAGACACAAGTTTCACAGTATATAACTTAATTATGATTTATAATTATATTTATTCTTAAGTGAAAGATCATTTTGAAAACTTAATTAATTAATTTATTACAAATCACTTTCAGTGACATTGTAATAATAAAATACATACAGGATAGCTTGCAAGTCTTAAATGTACACACACAACACATTTTACAGAATTAACAGGCAAACAACATTCCACATTAATAAGCAATTTTGAAAATGAAATTAAAAGTCTGAAATTGTCTAAAGTTTTAAAATACTTCGAGGATAAATTTCACTGTAAATTATTATTGACATCAAACATAAATTTCTGAAGAGATATTTCAAGTGTTATCAAGTTTACTTGCCTTTCTGCAGCCGATACAGAGTAGAATCCTGATGCTCTCCATCATTGAGAGTTAGGACACGCACTTGCTTAGCAACTTCTTGAGGGGAATTCCCAACAAATTTCAGTTCTGACCCTCCCGGACCCACAGCTTCCTGGCGAGGTGGCATTTTGGCTAGAATAAAATAAAAAGGAATGAAAACTATAAGGAAAGAAAAATAGAAAATAAAACAACACACAGTGAGGTCTTAAAAGAATTTAAGAGCCAAACTTATATTGCAAATAAAATATTGTGAAAAATAATATTCCATCTAAATCAAAATTCCATTATCAAAAAACTAAAAGGAAATTGAATCCAAATTTTAAGCAGCATATTCTATAGCTTTAAATTATTGTGGAATTATAATCAGCTACTCAAAAATATTAAATAATTCTACTAAAGGCTGAAATTTTCCTCAAATTTTGCCCTTGTTTCATATACACATTCACATAAAATTTAACAAATAACGTACAACGACACAGAACATCTGAGTACCAAAAATGTAGAAAGTATTTTTCCTGAGTATTTTATTATCTATGCTCTCAATTAAAATGATGCACTTCTACCAATAAAATTGTAAAAACAACTAGTAGATGTGCTCTTTGAAGAAAAAAATTTTTAGAACTTCTTTAAGCTAAGAATATTAACTTATGCTACAAGACCTTCTTACAATAATAAGGCAAGAGACAATACCTACTTGCACACGAAAACACAGCAACTGCGACCTGTCGTTGGTCACACACAGTTTTACTCTAAGAGGTCACACTTCACGCTTTTGTTCACATGCATCTTATGTACAAGCTCATGTTTCATACCTCTTTTATGCAGACGTTAGTTTTGGATTCTCTTGCAATCTAATACTTCAAGGGTGAAAAAGAGAAACACGTATTCCTTCTCATCCGTTTCAAGAAAATAAACAAGAAAGGAACCTTGAAAGAACTAGTTCTGAAGTAAAATGCTACACTTTCACCAAACTAGGAGAACTGTCTAAATTTACAAAATCTATATTATAACGAACAAATTTTGATGACATTTCTACAATTCCTTTCATTATGAACAATACTATTCACTTCTCTCAAGTACTGTTTTATTAATTTTCTGTTTCCAGACTTCAAGTGATGTGTCTGGTGAGTATTTTTGCAAGAACTACTCATCTCAAATATAAAAACTATTTTTGTATGATTTCATTAACTATAAATTGTTTGTAATAATTAAATTGAAAGCAGAAATAAAGACAAACTATAAAGAAAACATGGTAGACTTTACAACTTCACACTTTATGAAGAAACATAATAACTTTTCCGAGCATTGAAAGTATAATTTTAATTTAAGTAATGGCCACATCTGTTTGACGTTTAAGTTCGAATTAGCCGTACGAATGTGCCGCTCACAGTGAGAGCTTCTAGGATGGGATGGAAAACTAGGAATGAATTGACAGGTAGCATTCGATTGATGAAATACTAAAATGAGGTACATACAAGATGACAGTAAGTGAGAGATCGGGAGGATTTTTATTATATTAAAGAAACTGGAATTAAAGGGCAACAAACTAAATTATGGTGAAGTGCAATAAAATATATTTACCTTTTGTACTTCAAATAGAGAAATATTCCCTCAGGAAAGAGAGCACATTCTTTGCCACACTTCTCAGCAAATCAAATTTATTTCAAACATTATTGGATCGTCGGAAAATGTGTTTGACCCCTTTAAATATTACCACATCCCATCCACCCAATGACACTACAGGACACGCAAAGGTCGAACAGGTTGACAGTTGCCAACGTCAAAATTTCGTGTGCGTTGTTGTGGTAAAATTGCATAAAATCCTAAAACATTTGACTGCTACAACTCGTAAGTTGCGCATTGCGCATGTGACTGCGGCGCGGCAGAGATGGGGGTGTGGGGTAGAAGCACAACATGCTACTGTGATTTACTAGAAATGCCCTTGAAGTTGAGAGGAAATGTGAGATCCATGCATGGATAAAATCTGAGATCAATAGGTCCTACTTCTTTTTTTAAAATTTCCGGATAGCATGCAAATATGATGTTGACCCATGGCGTAAGAGAATATTTCTTACACCGATGGTTGATCCACTACTATTAAATATAATGTCTTGCGGTATTGACTTGAAACTTGTAGGCCTGCAGTAATTACTTTCTTTTAAAAACAAAGCAAATACACAAAAAACGCGTAAGATTTAATTTCACATTCTTTCACTGAGCAGTATAATATATTTCTATATCGGAACTGTAGAGAATCTAGCATTTGCTAAACAATGCTAGTTCTGGGATTTCAATGACCTTAGTAGGCAGTTGAAGAGTCATAAACCCTAAATTTAAATAATTCGAGGTGTTTTAAGAGTTTGATTTCGAAAACGTTTTAGAGCAAGTTATGTAAGGAATGAGTCGTGAAATATAGGCAGATCCTCGGCGGGAGAAACCTTTCATAATTTTCAAAGTCGAAGAAATCTAAAAGTTTCTCTCTGAAGACGATTCAATTTTACAAATATTATAAGACCGACGTTTCTTATTTTAAAAAATATTTTATAGAAGAAAGAAAAGAATCTTAAATTTAATGCCATAATATTGTCTTCAAATTTTAACGTAGGTAGCACATGAAATGAAAAATAAAGGTAGTCTAATAAATAACTTGTGTATTTTATCATTATAGTTTCTATTTGGTTAACACAATTTAAAGAAATGTCCAATTGCCCTCGAGCGGGCGCGCTATTGCACTGAGTGCAACATACTACGTTCATTTTTGTCCCTCAAGAATTTTGGCGAAATTCACGGAGTTGAATATACGTGTATGTATTTCAATTTTCGGGTGTTAGCCATTGAATGATGTTGGCTAACTTTTGTGTTCTGCCAACATAATAAAAAAATAAAGCCATGCATCATTATGGCTTATATTGCCACAAAAGGAGTAAGCCACCTCGAAGATTACCAGGTGGCCAATGTGCTTTTCTTTTTGATTTATAAACATTGCAAGTGCAGATACACATGTTCTCATGAAAGATAACAAAAAAGATTGTGTAAACAACTGCAGACATATTTTATGCTATTTGTCATTATCATCGTTTGTGAGTTACATGACATTAAAGCTCAAATTCCCTCATTTGGACATATGTGCATTTCTAAGCCAGTATTATAATGATCAGTCCGAAGCGGATTAAGGAAGGAGGGCAAGGTCCCCTTGGATCTGCCATTGACTGGTCTCTTCAATCGAATAATATAAAAAGTAAGAGACTCATAAAATAGTAGAAACGTCAAAGAATTTGAAAGAAATCCCCAAAATATATTTATATAGTACAGGGGTACCCAGAAAAAAACAAGAGGCTTGGGCAGAAGATATACGGGGCCCTTTACTTCAAGCTAGAGTAAAATATCAAGAAAATAAAATACCACACTTTCCCTACAATACTTAAACTGAATAAATTTCTCTGTGCAACAGAAATAACTTATAAGACTTGCCGTTCTAGGCGTGAAATAGAATAATGGAAGTGTACTCGTTATTATTTTCTAAGTTGACATTTTGATTATTACTATTGTTAATTTTATTACATATTTATTTAAAAAACATTTTACTACAATTTTAATACTAATCAAGTATTACGTTAATTCATTATTTGTGTATTGTAGTTCACCGCTCATGTGGGAAAAGTGAGTGAATGTCGTAACGGATGTGAGGAAAAAGCGGAAATTAATTATATGAGGATTTTATTTTTTCCCTTTCGCATTATGTACCCAGTATACGTATAAGCTTTATTTCGGATGGTAAAAAATCCACCAGCGTGTTTCTCATAATATTAGCAATAAATAATTCTTTTACTGTTTTGGCGTCAGAAGCATAGATTCCTGCAAAGGATGTTTTTTGTAATTTTATGTAATTTTCCAATTTTGATGCAGCCTGTATATCATCGAAAAGTACGCATTTCCAAGACTCGAATTGCTGATGTAGTCTCTGGAGGCCATCAGAGTCATTTGCGGACAGGAAGTGTGCACTGCAGTTCTGAAGGCCTGCTGGAGGGTTGAGGTTCTGACCGCCTAAAATCGGGCGCGAATCTAGGGCCACACACGATACAGGAGTATCTTAATTTGCACACCAATTCCTCCAATACACATTGCGTTTTTATTTGTTTGTACTCTAAAAAGTAGATTTTTTCTTCGACAATACTTAGAGCTACGATACACAATAAGCACTACCATTTGGACGTGTCAGGACGAGAGAAATTGCCCAGAAACTTCTGTGCAAAAACGAATCATTTCTCAGTAAAATGGCATAAGAAACATTAGTTCATATGTATATTTGATGTAAATCTTTGTTTATATTACAATTATGACAATATTTAAACTTAATATCTGATAGTATAATTTGTCTATAAAATGTAAAAATATGAAATATAATAATGGACATTTGGTCGGTCAGATGGCCGAGATCTCAAGGGCAGTAATGCCGTAGCGGTCGCGGACCAAATAGACCGCGGGTTTGAGTCCCGCCTCGGGTACTTGTGTATGTACGGGTATTTGTGTATGTCCATATGTGTGTGACGTCCTTTCATCCCTCATCATCATCTCATCGTCCATACCTCAAGGCAAATAACCTTGGGGGATAAAAATCAGGATTCAGCTAATATGCTAATATTCCCCCACCCCACAGAAAAGTACTTGAACCTGCTGAAGCAGGATGAACGTGCGGTCCATGTTGGCCTATATGTGAAAACAAAACAACAATTTTTTTATTATTTAACAACATCTAAAACGCTCCTCTCCAAAATGATTGACTGGTTCCGCCTCTGACACTGGTTGAGAACAACAATAACTGAACAGAAAACGCGAATGATGCGTGACGTATCGGCGGAAAACAACACTCATTGTCAGATGTCAAATGTGTGGATAGTTTACACGAAATCATCACGTAAAGTGTATTCATAAATATATTTTATGCTCCAAGGCTAAGGAAATAAAACTTGGGGTAAAGAGTTTAAATAATTGTATTTATCCAATAGATTTTTCAAAAATTGGAATTAAAAATAATTTGTCGTATTATCTATTCTAAATGATCTAATGATTAGCAGTCCTTCTTCTTAATATAATAAGATTTTCTCTCTCTAAGCTCGTTAAATGCAAAGTCCGCCGAGTTGCGTAGAATATAACGCGTTTACTTGTGTGAGTAATCAAGGCGCACTCGTTCGAAGGATAATTTAATTTATGTAAAGGAATGTTAATGAGACTACATTTATCTGAACACTGTTTTTGAGTGTCTATGCCTGGAATATTTCTAGCAAATCGACCAAGATATGTGAGCGTTTTTTACACTCATGAATACTACGTCAAATTGGGGGCGAGGAGAGCGTGGCTGGTAACACGTTGAAATAATTCGCATTCATTTCAAAAACGTTTGCTAACTTGTTCTGGAGTTGTTATCTTCCCTGTTATTTTTGTCATTCCGTCAAATGGAGAATGTTCTCATGAATTTAATAGATTTATATAGCTAGAATGCAAGAAAAATATCCTTTAAAATTTCCTTTTTAAGAAGTGTTATGTACATGCTTAATTCTTCGATTATGTTGAAATCATCTATTGGGACTTTAATTCAAAGCCTGATGAAAGTAAGCAATCGGCATTTATGCCATAAGTTTACATTTGTTTGATGATTAATAATATGATTAATAATTCGAGGTCCTGCGAATTCAAATCAGATATTTTAATTTTTGAGAGCTTAAGCATTTTCAAAATTTTTTTAAAAAATGCAATTTTTATTAATTTTTCTTTCGGATGCAGCAAAATATAATTAAAAACAACGGAAATCGCAGTTTTGTTGAATTCTCTATTTTCGAATATTGTAAACTTCCAATTTTTTTCCGAAATCGTCCCACAACTACAAGAGTGTAATAAAAATCATTTTTGCAATGAACTCTGTGTTTCAATGATAACTCTTTAAATAAGTTCATGAATAATTTTTCAAAAATATGTATAATATCCGCCTTATTTTATGTGAAATACAAGTAATTACAAAAAGTTTTCTCAAAAATACTCCACATTTTTCTTTATTTTTTCAAATAGAAATAGTCATAAATTGGCACAGGTTCCTATTTAGGTGAATTCCTTGATTTCTCTAATTTTCGAAAATTGCAAAAAATTAATATTTGAAAACCACAAAACCGATGATAGAGAGTTTTTACTGAATTAAATCTGTTCTACTAAATTAGATCTCTAATAAGATCATGTAGAATTTTTTTGTTGAAAATGTGAGTAGTTTTGCGTAATTTTACAATAAACGTAACTGCAAATTCGAATTTTCCGCGTACGTTTGACTAACGGGAGTCTTTTATGAGATATCACGTCGGAATACTAAATACAATGGCAACCGCGACCTAGTTTGAAATTCTAGAATTACTTCTCATGGTTAGGCGAAAATGTTTCTGGCTGTATGGAACACAGTTTTGGACTGATCAACATTCGAACATGTGTTGATGTATGAACTTTAAAAGAAATGGTTTTCGTATTTCATGCGCTGCAATTGGTAATGAGTTTTACAAGGGATGGCTGAGACGTGTTAACATGTGAGATGTTTTACAGAGCTTTTACTAATGTAACGAAATACGTGATGTTGTAGCACCAGTAATTTCTGAGTATAATATGCGATATGGTATGAAACAATTTACTTTAGACTACATATTTAGTATGATTATACACATTTATATTAATTCAAATGATTTTACAAACACCTGTATTAAAGTTTTACGTTCGTTAGGCTTATATCATCCAAGAACTACAACACATAATATACTATATATTATATTACAGGATGACATCTCAATGGCATCGATGCTGTTCTCCCCTGGTATCACTGCGGAAATATTCATTT